GATAACCACCACGATTTCCTAGGCCTCATATGTAGCTGTTCTTGGCTTCAACTTCGTTGATGTTTAAATTGCTTTGTAGATCTTCCTCTTTATTTTCATTTTGTTTCATCTTTTGCTCATGGGCTTGGAGTGAACCTACAAGCTCATCGAGCGATTTCTGGGATAAATCTTTCAATTTTTTTACTATCACGGCCATATATTGAAAATTTTGTATCAATGACCGCAAAATCTTTTCCATCACTATGATGTTGTCGAGTGATTCAATATTTCTTTTCATTTTGTTTACCATAACTTTAAAATGACTAACATAATCATCGATACTTTTCGTATTTTTTTCAACATGTCAAATTCAACTCTTAGATAGTGCAAATGTACCTTTTTTTATTTTTCAATTCCTTGGAGAAATTTTTGTATAATCTCCCACGCCTGCTTTGCGGTCTTCGCATCTGAGATTTTTTCAAATGTTGATTCTTCAACTCGTTGAAAAATAATGAGCAACACCCTCTTGTCTGTCTTGCATGATTACTTCAGTACCCGTTTCTCTTCATTGGTTAAAGTCGTTTCTGTTGCTACATTTTCGGGCTCAACATAACCTTCCTCGATAATGTCTCAACAGTCCTGCAAACAGAGTAAGCCCTTCATTTGGATACTCCAGTTACCATAATTCATCTTTGTCAATCTCGAAATTTGTGGTTGACTTAAGTTGGTCATTTTCAATGCTATGTATACTTGAACCAAACTCGAACCTGTCTATGATACCACTTGTCGAAAGCGTTGGTGGGCACTCGATTTACTTTATAACTCATATGATATTATTAATATGAAACAAAATACGAGTACAAACACCAAACAAATATGACACTATATGCGGCTTGTCATAACTATTTTTTAGGAAAAAACTTAAGTTTTTTTAAAAAAAATTACGACTTTATTTTGAAAAAATGTCGATTTTGAATTAATTTGAAAATTTTGAATTGGATTCGCCACCGACCTTTGAGTTATGTAGGTCGAATACCTAAAAACGTCTTTTAAAACAATTTTAAGAAAAATCGTTTCTTAGACAAAAATCGGTCTGTGTTATCAAATTTTCAATTTAATGGGTTCGGGAGTCGATTACACGTGGTAAGGATATGCACCCCACAATGGCAAAAAATTGGTACTTAATCGCTTAAATGTTGCCGTAACGGTGGAAATCACACATAGAACATAAAGTTAAAATATAATCCATTTATTAAAGTTTAAGTAATTTGTTTTGAATTCTTTATTAGGGAAAACTCTTTAACTTGAAAAGAAATCTTGAGATTACCAATCCTCCATTGGGAAAGCTGTCTCGTCTATTTCTTATCTGTAAAAGAATATTCTCTCCTCATTATTATCCAAGATCGCAAATCAAACAAAAATTATTGGTAATTTCATAAAACAATATGACATACCATTTAAGAAACATACAATGCTATTAAACTAAAATAAAAGAATGAATTAAAAAATAAATTTGATCAGTTTTAAGTTCATTTATCGATCAAATGGTATCGAATCACACTACTTCGTTCAAGTTGTGCTTTTTATGCCCATTCTATGACGAGTGTCTTGAAAATATTCGAATGAGCTTAAACATTTTAATCAAGTATGAGAGACACAGAATATTGATACAAAGGCTAATGTATAAATTAAATTAATATGAATGAGATAAAATAATACAATGAAATAAACAATATATATAAACATACAGGGATTAAGAGAAATTAGTTAAACATATACATATATCTATATATGATATAACATAATAATAAAACAACTAATAACATAAAAATAAATAAATAAAAACATTTTAATCATATGGGTTGAACTAGGATAATATAATGATATTAAATAACAAAAGGACTAAATCATAAAAGGACAAAATAATAAAGCATAAATATGTAATAAACCCTATAATTTCACTTAGAAAACCAAAATAGTGACCAAAATGAGCTAAAAGTGAAATCTAAGATCTATGATACAAACTCAAAATTTATCTTCTAAAATAATAGTTAAGGACTGGAACAAAAGAAAAATAAATTCATGAACCAAATCATAAATACTGATAAATTCACTACTACACAAATAAGGATCCAAATGAAATAAATCATGAATCAATAGCCTAAAATAGACATTAAACCAAATGTATATTAAAGAACAGATAATGACTAAAATACAAACAATCAATACTTGAAGCTAGAAATTAAAAGATTCAAATTTCTATTCATTGATTAAAATGAAAAATTACAAAATGTGAGTCCAGATTTAAACAACCACGAAAATGGTAAAATACAAAAGGTAAGGACTTAAATATAAACAGAGAAAAATAGATGCCCAAAACATGATTTCACAAAGCTTCATTAATGACTAAAACATAGGTATTACAAATAAAGAGGAGCCAAACCGTTAATATCCCATTTTCCCAAAACACGCGGTCTCTCCCTTCTCCAAACGAAGCCATATGGAATCTGTGATATAACCGGTTTAGGGTATTTCAAAACCCTTATTTCATTTGTCACCCCTCTTAGCCGCGTTCTCCCCTTCCGCTCTCTCTAATCCCTCCTTCTCACGAGAGAAAGAGAAAACCCTTTATCCTACAACCGATGAGTCAAACTGTGACTCCGACCACCACATCTCGGTGGCCATGGGGTAAAACACGTTCGATCGGTATCCTAAAACACAACCTCTCACGGTCGAACACTAAAATCTTACCCCAAATATACCCAAACATGAGAATCAAGACCTTAACCCTTATTTACCTTCGGTAATGGTGATGTTCGCTCCAGTAAAGGTCGTCGTTTTATCCTTGCTTGAGGTAAGCTTCTTTTTCGAACCCCTTTCTCTCTCTCTTTGGCTTGAATATCTCCCCTTCTGTTTTCTATGTTTTTCTAGTTTGGATATGTTTTGTTTTTTCTCTAGTTTTTTTCTCCCCAAATGCTTCCTCCCTCTTCTCAAATCCTCCCACCGAAACTCTCTCTATGTTCTCTTCCTTTTTTTCAACCCCCTGAATCTCTCCCTTTATTTCCTCGCCTGTTGGGCCTCGTGAGATCTTCTACTGCTCTCTTATCTTTTGATTTCTTTGGATGAGATGATTACATCTAGCATAGGGATCTATTTTTTCTGATCTGAGTTGATGAAAATCCTGATTTTTTTTGGATTTATTAGCTTTTTAAAATGATTATCTGTGATTTGGTGTGATTGACTGGTGGATGGTGATTTTCTGTCACTGTTGATGATGAAGGTGGCTCGGGGAGCTCTCGGTGGTGGCTTATGCGGCGGACAGAGGAACGGTGAGATTCACGCGCTGGTGGGGAGTTGAAGAGTTAAGCGTATGCATCTCACTCGCAGCAGATCGGACGGTCCAGCTTCTGTCCTGGGTCGGCGGCGGTAGCTTCTCCTCTATGTTAGGGTTTTAGAAACGTAGGGTAGTGTAATCGGGTCGCGTTGAATGTGCATGGACCGGGTCGAATCTTGGGCCTCAGGTCTGGGCTCCAATTGGGTTCTTGTGGGCTTAAGTGTTTGTATTCTAGGTCCTTGTAAAATGGGTCTACACAATGTAAATTAAAATGTAATAAAAATAAAAATAATAATAATAGATTAATAAGCGTAATTAAAACTCGGACAAAAACCATGTCTACACGGCTTGTTTACAAACACCACACCACTCTAAAACTTTGTTAAGTTTCACCCTTCCACTCTTGTATATTTCTTTACCACACTTTCATTCATTCTAAACTAAAATATCGACACGCGCGCGCGCATATATATATATATATATATATATATATATATATATATATATATATATATATAGAACTTAAATAGCATAATTTACTAAGAATTGTGGCCAAGGATTGCTATAATCTTTTCCCTTGCCGTAATGAAGTTTTGTGCTACAGACTATTTGCCATTTCAACAATTTGATAGTGCCGTGATAATGTTTCTTGTTGTGATGTCTCGATTCAAGCTGGTTAGTTGTTAAGCATTAAACTTATCATGATTAAAATAACTATTGCATAACAGTTATAACCATTCTTTTAATTTGCTTAATTGCATGAATCTTGTTACCATCCATATAGCTGTTGCTCCAATTGCCACGTGTTTTCTCCTTCATCATTACCACCAAATCATTAGTGATGTTTGTTGTATTTTAAGTCTCAAAGTGGTCAGTCACATATCCAAGTAATTCTCTACTTAAACTTTTAGCAGTTGCTGTCAACAAGTTCCATAAGAATAAAGTATTTATTTGTAAGCTGCCAATTATCTTCGAGCTTTACCTACAATTAAAAATCAACTTTGATTTCTAACATCAAAAGATATTAGTGGTAAATAAATTTTTATTATTTTTTGAGGTTACGAATTTGAACACCATAAATATTAGGGTATTAGGGTGTAAGTGTTTAATGTCAAATGATTATGAATTATATTTGAACAAATATTATATTATACTTATTATAGATTAATAAAAAATTATATAAAATAAATAATATCAACTTTTTTATTACTCTATCAATTTAATAAATCTCACTTTACGACTGATACTTTAATTATACTTAATATTGATTTTAAAATAAAGCAAAATTTCAAAGATAAAAGTTGTATTATTTTTTTTTATAAAAGTTCTACCTTATTGATGAAGTCCTTACAAAAGTTTTGCACTTGAAACTCTTAAAAGCATTTATGAAAATATATAATAATCGAAATGCGTGGAAGCGGTGGTGCTTTATTTAGGGACACTATAAAATGCTAAACTTGTTTAATATATGGCTCAATACTATGTAGAATTCATCCTTGGCCTCTACTTTGAAACTTCTTTATGGGAAGTAATCATCATCTCTACCGCTACCATAGCCTGACCCGCTTCCATAACCCGAACCGTTGCCTCCGCCTCCACTGCCACCTCCTCCTCCACCTCTTCCCCCTCCACCACCACCTCCTCCACCCTTACCACCACCACCACTTCCATATCCGGACCCACTTCCTTACCCTGATCCTCCATTGCCTCCGCCACCACCACCACCACCTCTCCTACCTCCTTCACCACCTCCTATCCCACCTCCAGATCCATACCCTGATCTAGACCCCGAATCGTACCCTGACCCAGAGCCTCCACCCCCACCACCTCCTCCACTTCCTCCTGAACCATATCCGGAGCCACTTCTTGAACCATACCCCGAGCCATATCCAGAACCTGACCCCAAACCATTAGCACCACCACCACTTCCTCCACCACCACCACCTCCTCCTATTCCTGCAGCCTTAAATGGCCTAACAGCAAAAGCTATATCGGCGAGGAGCAAAATCAAGAATGCAGCACCAAAAACCCTAGAACTTCCCATATTCACGTAAAACTAGCCTTGTTGATTGAGCAAAAAAAGTTAAGGCCAAGCTCTCTATTTAGAGGCGTTGCCCAGTAACTAAAATAAAATAGAAAAAAAAAACCCTTGAAATTAATTATTTAAATTACATATACAAAGACTCCAATTTAAAATTTTATTTAAGCGATACCAAACTGTTTAACACTTAAATTAATCATTTGATAACTTATTAATAATTCTTTTAATTTCTACAACAATATAGACGAATTATCGGTTTAATATTTGTATAATATTTTATTAATTGAAGTTTTATTATTATTATAATTATCATTTTATTCTATCCATGATTTCTATTTAAAAATAATGTAATTCAATCAAAAAGTGTAACGTGTTATAAATTTTAAAATTTATATTAAAAATTGTGTAAATTAAAAAACTTTAATATTTGCAGAAGTTAGCTGAAATTCCAGTAGCTTCTGTCACTAGAAGAAGGTTCAGACGATGATTGTAAGTGGAGGAGAAAGCGTGTTTTAGTGTTGGGACTGTTAGTGGTGTTGGTAGTGATGGCGATGGTGGTAAACTTATGTCTTCTTCTGCAGGAAATTTTAGTATAAAGTTTTATTCTATATTCTATCATTTTTTACTTTTTTATTAGGATAATAATTATATCACGATTTATAATATTAATTTTAGTATCAAAATAACGATAACATAAGTGTAAATAAATAAGTTGTATACTTAAAAATTATAATTACAATATAATATTTATTCAAAGATAATTCTCAATTATTTGATATTAAATGATCACACCTTTGATTTATTTGATATTCGAATCTGAAATTTTAAAGAACAAAAATAATTATTTTTTCATCAAGATTAATTGATTCGTGCATGAAAATATTATTTACATACACAAATATGGTTACTACAGTTGTCTACTTGTTATATGGATTACATATATAAAAATGTTATATTATTTATATTTGATTTTCAGAATTGGTTATTGCATTATCTTGAACCTTTAGATATAATGGCATGCCATAGCATTTTGAGTATAGTCTACATTTGTATAGGTGATCACTTTGAGATCTACTAGAGGCGGTATAAGGTGGTCACTTTACTTTGTGCAATGTGCAAAGTGGAAACAATTATCTACTTTATTGCAACTCTTTGAGTTATACTTGAGGTCGACCAATAAGAGATCGGCGTCCTTTATAAGGATTATACGGAGACATAAAGAGATCTGATTATCCTTAGATATTAGTTTCATAAAATTTAATATAAGTTGATATATCAAAATACGATGAACTATAAGTTTGATACTAGTAACATTTACGTTCTATTTTTAAAGCATGATTTGCATGACTTACAAACCTATTTTGAAAGCCTTATATACATGATTTTTCGGCCATGATTATGCATTAAATGGTATTAAAATGTTACATGAGTTTCCAAAAAGGCTACTTAATATTTGAGAGTGAATTGCAACATTAGCATGTTGAATGTCCTAAAGTAACCTGCTTGATAGTTGTGACTTTGTACTTATTACTATATATTCACTTAGTTCGTTTGAGCTCACACTCATTGATTACCTGTTTTCTATTCCTAGAGACAACTTGGAGTAGGGATGGATCAAGGTCGGGAAGGGTGGGGGTGGTCGTCCCCCAAAAAATATAAAATTATTATATATTTTAGATTTTCCTATGTATTTTTTATTAAAAATATGTTTTTGCCCACCCTAAAATTTTATAAATTCAAAATTATCCGATGAAATTTTATTAGTTCAAGTTCACTCCCTGTATAAAATCATATGTCTGTCCCTATCTTGGAGTGAAGAGAGGTCAAGCGGAACATTTCAAAACATTTTGATTTGATAAATTAACGTTTTAGTGACTTAGGATTTCGTCAAGCTATAACAGAAAATTCACACAACTTTACCTTTCGTCACGGATAATAGGATGGGATCATTACCCTCCGAAGAGGATCCCAATCAGAAACAAAAATCAAAATGGAGATATAACCCTCCAAAAACGATTCCAAATTGAAATGGACTAAGATATAATTCCATGTAGAAACATGACTGAGATATAATCCCATGCAAAAACATGACGAGAATGTTATCCTCCATAAAGGAACTCATGTATATGACATAAATATTTATATCAATACACAAATAATAAGTGATGCCATACCCATCAGATATCAGACATATCACGTTAATCATAATCAAAATATGGACATGTTTACAAATAGCATCATATAGTTTAAAAACATAAAATTATTAAATGCATTATAAGGGTCAAGGAGGCAAACTTATAGTAGTTAATCAACACTGGTTGAGCTTTTTTAGGGGTGGAGATGGAACTTTAAATTGTGGTGTCATAACTTTAAATTGTGATATTTAAATAAAATTATATATATACTTTAAAAAAATTAGGGTCAAATTCTTTTGGTATAATACTAAAATCAACCCCATCGTTTACTAAAATGTTTATTTGGTCCCCTATTCTTTTTTTTAGCATTTTGACTCCAAACGTTTCATTTTAAGGTAAAAAGTCTCATAACATTTAACTAAATAGTTATTTTAATTCTTATTCATTTTTTTTCTAGAGCACTTTGACCCTCAATGTTTCATTTAAGGATATAAAGTATCACTCTTTTAGTATGTCAACAGTTTGATAACTAATTATTTTCATAAATTGAGGGATCTTTTTTGCCTTAAAATGTAACATTGTGGGCCAAATTACTCTAAAAATGAATAAAGGATAAAACGATTGTTTGAATAAATGTTGAGTATTAATTTTGATATTTTTTTCATTTCTTTTTTAAGGGGTCAAAATATTTCTAAAAGTTGTGTCATTTATTTATTTTTATAAAATTTATATAGGAAACTTTATTTTTTAAAAATTTTCGGTATCCTTTACTGGCTGACACCCCTTATCCTTTCCTGGCTCCGCCAGTGAGCTTTACGCTTCCTATGGTCGGTAGCACTAGGACATGCGGAGTGGTAACCTAGATATAATACATCACCATATGAGTATGTAAACTATAATGTAAATAATATTAAAATATTAAGCCATTTAACAACATTAACACATATCTCGAGATGAGCATGTAGAATCTAACTAAGTTGAATGAGAGTGGTCAAGATCTACTAGAGAGCAATGTAGAGACACATGTTCACCTTTAGAACATAACAAAAAAAAAGTGAGTCCAAAATCTTACAATTTACTTAACAAAACTAAGACTTTAAGCGATAAATGACGTAAAATATGGCTTTTAAGTTAGAATTTGGCAAAATAAACTACAGAAACAAAATCAGGATGTCAAAAAAAATTAAAGATAGGGGTCTTTAAAAAAAGGTTATTAGGTCAAAATCGAAGTCAAAATCAAAGTCAAAGTCAACGATCAATTGTCAATAAGTCAGGTTAAAGTCAATGGGTCAGGTTTATGGGTTAGGTCAGACTGGTTTGGTTCAAGCTCAAGTCAGTTCAATCGGTTCAGTCTAGAGTCAAATTTGTTCTCTAATTGAACCGACATTATCATTCCCACACGAGCACGATGACACGTGAGGGCTCATCTGGCGATCAGAATTCAAAAAAATCTCTAGATTTTGATTTTAAAGCACTAAAAGTCTCATATTGAATTTGGTTCGTGACATTGAGTGACAAAGACATGTTTTTTGAACAAACCGAGATGTTCCTCCCTTCCCCGACAACCAATGACGACATTGAAATAGGAAACAAGGGTATCAGACAGAAAAATACCATAAGACGGAGGGAATGATTTCAGCAGTCAGGGACGGAGCCATGATTAAATATTGAACTTTTCTTAAGAAAATACAATGACTTAATAGGTATTTAAATTTAAAATTCACAAGATAATGTCTAATTTATCGAATATTTAAATTTATAATTACATATATTGTTATTAAACCAAAAATTTTGAGAACATTGGATTATCTTCTTTAGTTTGGCATCTACTTGATTAAATATTTAATAAATTCTTTTATTTTTTAATTTGAATATTTATTTTTATATGAACTAAAATACTATTAGATCAAATATATCAAATATAAAAAAACTTTACAGGGGTCGGGGCCCCAAAAGTGCTTTTCCCCTATCAACGGTGTGCTACAAAATGGCACGAAATGCGACAAAATTGCCAAAAACATACAATGAAGGCATGTTGGAAGAGAGACAAAGAGAGTGCTTGAGAGATATTGAAAAAACGATTGGGAGGAAAAAAGAAAAGAAATAAGAGTGGAAGTTTTCAAACTACCTTAAAAATTTGGTAAATTGTACCCTTGGGCTTTAAACTTCCATAAATTTACGATTAAGCACAGAAATTTAAAAACTTTCTAGTTTACCCCTTACTTTGATATGTGATAACTCTCTCAAGAAATTTTTGACCTTAAAATTTTACCTGACGAAAAAAGTTGTGGAAACTACTCCTCCATGGATTTTTGAGTCTCTTATGTTCCTCCGAAGGACTATGGTTACTCCAAAGTACCTTAACCATAAGTATACATAAACTTCTCATAAATCAATCCTCATAGGCAAGAATCCTCATAGGCTTCTTCTCATAACTTAAATAAGGTCTCACCTCAACATCTTCAACATAAATGATATGAGATAGATCATAATGATATAGAGACATGGAAGACATCATGAATGTGCTTAAGCTCAAGCAATAACTCAAGTTTATAAGTAACAGGACTAACTTGACGCAGAATCTGATAAGGTCCAATAAACCTCAGACTCGACTTTCTTTTATGACTAATCCTGAGAACATTCTTCCAAAAAGATACGTTTAGAAAGACTAGAGTCTTTTACATTAAACTCAATATCATGTCTCTTCATATCAGTGTAAGACTATTACATATCAAAAGAAGCCTTAAGCCCGTCTCGAATGAACCTAACTGTACCCTCGGTCTCCTGAACAAGATCGGGTCTTACAACCCTTCTCTTAAATAACTCAGTCCAACATAACAGAGTACAACCCCTAGGACCATACATTTC